CCAGAGTGGGCACCTGGTCCCGCCACCTCCAGCCACCCGTGGCCCTGAAGGGGCTTGTCTCACCTTGCTGCGCCCAGCTCAGGCCGTAATGCCCGCGGCCACCTTCCGCTGGGGCGAAGGCTCACTCCCGCATCTCACCCACGGCGCAGCTTAGCTAGACAGCCCACGCTGGATAAGTGGACCACCCGCCACCTTTTCGGGCCTGCCATTGGGGGGCTCCCACTTGCACCCGACATCTCACCCTCACTGGCCCTGCGGGGCTCGACCTAGCTAGGTCTCTGTTTTGTCACGCCGCAGGCGCCCGAACATCAGCGGCGGTTTGCTGCGACCCTGGATGGACCAACGCACGCCGTCCCCACAGAGGTTCCGGCCTCCGCGTTGGCCGACCAGCCTTCAGCGTGGCAGGTTGCCCATTATGGACCACGCCAATATCGGGCGAAAGACCTACCATTCGGTACTACTTGCACTTCAGCGGCGGTTAGCTGCGACCCTGGAGGATCCTCGAGAGTGGCGGCCGTGTCCCCTGGACAGGCATACCTGGGGCCCGTTCGAGGGGCGGTGATGCTCGTCCCCGTCGCCTCTCCCCTCGGGTCCCTCTCGGGCTGGGCGGGCGCGCCCCCCGCCCTCGGCCTTCGGGGCTGGCCTCGATGGCTTCGCCCCCCTCCCCAGGGCTGCCCTGGGCCCCCGCTGTCCGTGGCAGCGTCTCCTCACCTTCAGCGGCGGTTAGCTGCGACCCTGGAGGCCCACGTGGTATGGTGGATTGACGGTGACCTTGGATTTCCGCGGGGAATGGCGGACGCGGCGGACAAGGCCGCCCCATGGTGGCCTTCGGCACCACGCGGCTGCGACAGCGAAGCTTCACCCCGGACGCCCCACCTTGCTGGCAATGGTCTTCCCACCAGCTTGGCCTTATGCCGCGCGCGGCCCCTGGAGGTACAGCCAGCTCCGAGTGGTTCAGCCATCGCAGTTTCGGCCGCCCAGAACCCCCGCTGACAGCGGTAACTTTACCTCGCCTTCAGCTGCGGTTATCTGCGACCCTGGACGCTCGTGGAATGACGGATTCGACGGAGACCCTGGTTCCCTGCGGGGAATTGCCGATTCGGCGGATAAGGCAGTCCCACGGTGGCCTTCGGCGTACATCAGGCGGCAGCTGCCGTGCCCTCAGTGCAGCCCCTCCCTGGATCCCCCTGCCTCGCTGGCGATGCTCCCCACGCCTGCCTGGCTTTCCCCTACAGTCCATCTGGCGTCGGCTCTGTGCCGATGTTGGGGGGGCCAGCCCACTGGCGCCCGGGCCTCCCTTGGGCACTGGATGATGGCCCCTTGGGTACTGTGGTCGCGCCGGAGTGGTTTAGCCTTCTGCAGTCGCAACAGCACCCTGGACTCATCCCCCTCTTCAGGCAGGTTTGCGACGTCCCTCCGCAGCTCAGTTCCCCTAGCCTGCACATGCCGTTGGGGCGGCCCTGGGCCTGGCGCCCCACTGGCGACTCGCCCATCGGTCTTCGCGCCTGTGCGCCCACCCAGCATGATGGACACGTCAGCACCAGTGCACGTCAACGTCGTCTGTGTGGGCTATGTCTCACGGCATGCACCGAATTTCTCGGCATTTTGCCAGACTGCACGTGCCTGAGCTTCCCTGGATGCCCCCAGCTGTCAGCCTCCCGCACAGCCCCGCTGCTGCTTGGTGAGTGGGCCGGCCGGCTTGCGGCGCGTCTTGTAGCTAATTAGCCTTGTTCGCAGCCCCGGACAACTGCTTTCGCCGCCTGCGCTCTTCGCTCGCGGCCGCGACCAAAAAACATCCCCACCAGCCCATCCAGAAATGATCGGCAGGGGAGTTGGTGAATCAGGGGCGGCAGGACGCATGCAGTCGCACAGCCGTCTTCGAGAAAACAAGGATTACAAATAACTTCCCGCATTGAAGTTTAAGATGGGAATCGGTGCAAGCTACGATGGTGCTTCGAATAGGGGTGAGGGGTGTTTCGATGACTCGTAATGGCTGTTGCACTGATTTGTGTCTTACACTCGCGTGCGTTCCGAAACTTGGAGGCATCTTGGGGCTCTGTTGGGATTCTCTTGGGCCCCTCTTGGGGCCTCCTGGGGCTCTTTCTTGGGGCTCTCCTGAGGTTCTCTTAGGGCCTTCTGGGGGCTTCTTGGGGCTGTTTTTGGGCGTCTTGGGGCCCTCTTGGGGCTCTTTGGGGGGGTCAGGGGGTCTTCTTACGGCTCTTTTTGGATGCCTCGGAGGGGCCTCTCGGGGCCGTTTTGGTTCTTATGGCCAAAAAAGGGGGGGGGCCTTCAATTCTTGTCCCCCCCTCGGAGGCTCAAGAATGCCGTCTTGGGACCCTCTTGGCCCGCTCTTGGAGCGCTCTTGGGCGCTCTTGGGGCCGTCTTGGGGCTCTCTTGGACCCCTCTTGGGGCTGTCTTGGGCCATCTTGGGGCCATCTTGAGGCTTCAGGAGCCCTTCGGAGGCGAAAAAGCGAGAAGGCAAACAATATGGATTACCTTAGATGTTTGAAGGATTTTGGCCTTTGGGGGTGGTCCTTGGAGGCCTCGGAGGGCACTTGAAACCGTCTTGGGGCCGTATTGAGGCCTCTTGGACGCGTGTCGGAGGCTATCTTGACCCGTCTACCGCTACCTTGGGCTATCTTGGAGGCTATCTTGCGCTCTCGGAGGCCCTCTTGGAGCCATCTTGGGCCATTTTGGACGCTGCTATGGGTCCGTCCCCCCCCGTCCAAACGCAGGGAGGGGGGGGGAGGTAAACCTCCCGAGCAGGGAACGGCAGGAGGTTGGAAAAAGGAAACGCCCTAGACCACCTGCGCCCAGAGGGCTGGTGGGATTTGAAGTGCTTTCCCTCGAAGCGCGAGTGCACAAGAACGATCTGCAATCTTCCATATCACACTGAGCGTTCCCGTCTGTCTGCTTGTAGCTGGCAAAGCATGGTCTCGCTTGAATAGCCCGTGGGGTGCTCGTTCTCAAGAGGGTGGCTTCCTTGGTGAAGCGGAATGCTGGGGGGGACTTCTCTACGGGGCGGGGGCGGGACGGGAAGGTTTATTGCAGCACGCTTGATGCATCTTGCGTTTTACTCTGGCCCACCTCTTCCTCTTCCCTCTCCTCCTCGCAGGTCTAGAGGTTGACATCAACACCAGTATCTGCGGTGTGCCTCCACCGAGGGAAGAGGATCCCGATCTCGGTGATGATGGTAATATCTTGACTTCCAAGATGACCGACAGATTGCCACCAACACCGAAATCTAGGACCACCTTACCCCTGTGGAGGCAACCCCCTGTGTTGGTGTTGGTGCCCATTTCCAGGCCTCAAACCTCCGCCCTCTTCCTCTTCTTCCTCCGCCCTCCTCCAGGCGGGCCTCTCGTCGAGGCGGGGCTCCTCCTGCCTCGAAGAGGGCTGCTTCTTCCAGCTGCTCGCGGCCCGGGGGAGCGCGGCGGCTCGGCCAGCAGCGGCGCCCCGGGAGGGGGAGGAGGGGAGAGGGGGAGGAGGAGGAGGAGGAGGAGGAGGAGGAGGAGGAGGAGGAGGAGGAGGAGGAGGAGGAGGAGGAGGAGGAGGAGGAGGAGGAGGAGGAGGAAGAGTAGGAGGAGGGGGAGGAGGGGAGGATGGGGAGGGGGAGGCGGCAAGCTAGGTGCGCTCGCGTCATATCTGACGTCCTACCCCTCCCTCCCATCCCTTACCATGGCGCTGATTTTCTCTATCCGCGGACGCGTGTCGTAGCGGACCTGTGGCTCAGCGCGCGCGTGCGTAGTGGGTGGTGGTGCACGTGCGTGCGTGCGTGCGTGTGTGCGTGGTTGTCGTGGTGGTGGTGGTGGTGGT